GGGGGGACACACGGGGGTCCCCGGGGGGGTGGGGTGGCAGATGGGGACCTCGGTGGCAGCCACCTCTCGCCCTCGTCCAGCTTCCACCTGGCTGCATCCAAGGGTCTCACTGAGTGCCTGACACTGCTGCTGGCCCACGGGGCCCCAATTAACGAGAAAAATGATGACGGTAAGTGGCGGACACCATGGGGACACCTCCTGGCATACGGGAGGGGGGACACAGCCAAGTCTGAGCCAGGACAGGGTCCGGTCCCTGTGCCCCCTTCGGGTGATGGCAAAGGGCTGAGCATAGACCTGCACCCCAAGGCACCGAGCCCCAGGGCAACAGCCTGTCCTGCCGTGCTGGGGCAAGAGGTCCCCAAGGCGAGATGTCCCCTGGGGGGGGGGGTATCCCTGCTGGCCGGGTCCCCGGTGTCCCCTTTGCCTGCTGGTGCCCAGCCCACAGGTCTCTTGCAGGCAGCACCGCTCTGCATCTGGCCACCATCGCCTGCCAGCCCCAGTGCGTCAAGGTCCTGCTGCAGGTACGGGCCCTGCCGGGGATGGGGACAAGGACAGGGACAGGGACAAGGATGGGGATGGTGATGCAGAGGAAGATGAGGATGGAGCTGAGGATGAGGACAGGGATGAGGAGAGGGATGCAGAGGGGGATGTGGATGGAGCTGGGGATGGAGCTAGGGATGGTGATAGGAATAAGGATGGGGACAAGGACAGGCATGGGGTGGAGGCAGGGGTGAGGATGAGGATGGGAATAGGGCTGGGGGGGGCAGGGCAGGACTCCAGGTCCTGTCGCAGCTCAGCGAGGGTCTCTGCCCACTGTCATGCCCCCCAGTATGGTGCCAACGAGAGCCATGTGGATGGGCAGAACCGAACCCCCCTGCACTGGGCTGGTGAGTGCTGGGGGTCCCCAAACCAGGCTGGGATGGGCGGGGTAGCACTGAAGGCTTATATGGGGGAGGCCCACCTGACACCCCCCCACCCCCAAGAGAGCCATCCCCCTGTGTTGACACGGCCCCCCCGCAGCCTCCTCGGGCTGTGCCTCCAGCGTGCTGCTGCTCTGTGACCATGAGGCCCTCCTGGATGCCACTGATGCTGTGAGTGGGGACCATGGTGGGGGGTGGCAGGGGGTGGCAGGGGATGGTGGGGGCTGACGGACATCTCACGTCCCCCCCCCAGCATGGGCAGACTCCCCTGATGCTGGCGGCGCGGGGGAACCACGCTGCCATCTGTGCCCAGCTCCTGCAGCGAGGGGCCGACCCCAACCTGGCTGACAAGGACAAGAAGTGAGTGGCCGTGGGGACAGGGGGACACTTGTAGGACAATTGGGGGTGATGGGAAGGGGCTCTCTGCTCTGCCCCCATGCCCGGGGAGATGGCTCGATGGCTCTGCTCCATGGGGATGCTGGAGATGCCCTATGCAAAGGCAGCTCCCGTGCTGTCCCCTGCCCCCAAGGGACCCAGGTGTCCATGGAAAGTCATGGCTGTGGAGAGTGGTCTCCAGGGAGAGGGGGGAAGGGGGTGGGGAAGGATCTGTGCCATTGTGTCACCATGCCATCATGTCACTGTGTCTCTGTGCACCCATGGCACCGTGCCACTGTGCCACACCATGCCATCATGCACCGTGCCACCATGCCACCGTTCCCACAGGACCGCCCTGATGCTGGCCTGCGAGCACCACAGCCTGGAGTCGGCCCAGCTGCTGCTGAGCCATGGGGCAGTCGTGGGGGATGAGGACTGCTGGCACTACGGTGGACAGACCCCCAGCCGTGTGCTCCGGCGACTCCTGCGCAGCACCCGCGGTGAGGGGAGAGGTGAGTCCCCACCCGCTATCGCTCCCACTCACCATCACCCATATGGCCTTGCCTGGTTGCTTATTTTAGGGTGAAAAAAGGGAAAAAGGGGATTGTTTCTTTTCCTCCTGGCAGAGAACAGTGCTGGCTGTGCCGGGGACCCTGCGCCGCAGGTGGGAAGCCAGGGAGAGGGGACCCTGGGCAGCGACAGTGAGGAGGAGGATGAGGAGGGTGAAGAGCAGCAGGACAGGTCTGATGCCTGGCGGGTGCAACGGCTGCAGGCACGTCTGGCGAGGAAGACGCGGGAATGCCAGCGGCTGGCAGCCACTGCCGCCAGCATCCGGCAGCAGGTGTGGGAGCTGGCACGGCTCCTGCCCGGGTGCAAAGCCAGGGATGGGATGGAGGATGAGGATGGTGCCTGCCTGACTCTCCTGGCCCAGCACGTGGGGGAGCTGAGGAAGAGGATGCTGGCCGAGGGGGATGGAGGACACCAAACCATGGCACAGCTTGATGGCGATGATGGAGTGCCAGCGCTGGCCCCGTTCCTGACCTGGCTGGGGGACGAGTGTACCAAGATGCGGGCGGCAAAGGCGAGTGCTTTCACCCGGAGCAAGGGGCTGCGGAAGGAGGTGGAGGAAGCCCTGCGGAGCAAACTGCACTACGAGGTGGTGTCGGCCGACGCTGTCCGGAGGAGCTTGGCGGCTTGGGAGAAAATGGTGGTGGGGCTGGAGCAGACCCTGAGCCGCGCCGATGAGACCCACACCAAGATGCTTCAGGGATCCCGCATCCTCCTGGAAAATCTCCAGCGGGAGCCGGTGCGGCCGCTTGCTGGAACAGCACCTTGCCAGTGCCCGGTGAACGGCACGGAGCCGGCTCCGGGTGGGAAGAGCCAAGAGGAGCTGCCGAGGGAGGGTGGGAACTTGGAGAAGGAGATGCTGGAGCTGAAGGAGAGCAACGGGATGCTCCTGGGGGAGCTGGCCCGGCTGGGCCGTGAGCGGGAGCGGCTGCAGGAGGAGCTGCGGGGGCTGCGGGAGCAGGACCCCGATGCTGAACCAGTGGCGGAAGGTGCCGGAGCAGCTGCCCTGGCCCGGGCGCTGGTGGCCAAGAGGGAGGAGGTGGTGAGGCTGCGGCGGAGGTTGGCAGGGCAGCGGCGGGAGCTGGCGGTGCTGCGGGATGGGGTGGGCAAGCGGGTGCAGGAGGCAGCCGGTGATGCCAGTGCCGGCATCCTGCGGGAGCTGCACCTCAAGCTGGATGGGCTGGTGAGGTCCCAGCATGAGGCCTTGCAACTTGTTGCAGAGATGGAGGGTGAGGGTACCCCGGGTGAAGGAGCTCCCCATAGCGATGGGGATGGTGGGGCTGGGCTACTGGGCGAGGTGGAGGATGCACTGGGTGAACTGGTCGAGGAGCTGGGGACGGCGTCAGGTCCCCGCATGCCGCAGCTGCTGGAGCGGCTCGCCGGCACCACCGCCACCCTGCGCGGCTGGGCATTCCTCGGGGAGCAGCGGGAGCAGCTGGGGGCCGAGGCCGAGCGCTGGCAGGTGGCGGCGGCAGAGGAGAAGCGGGCAAAGGAGGCAGCGGTGGCCCAGGCAGCCGAGCGGGAGCGGGAGGCACGGGAGCTGCGGGAGAAGGCCGAGGGGCTGGAGCGGAGCGTGGGGAGCCTGCGGGCGAGGGTGGGCGAGCTCTCCAGGGCCTGCCGGGACAAGGAGGGGAAGGTAAGGACCGGGAGGGCCTGGGACATGGGCTGGCGGGGACAGGGGCCCCTTCCCATCACCATCCCCATCATCACTGTACCCTTCTTGTTGATGTCCTCTTCCCATCGCTGTCCCCATCATCACCACCCCCTTCCCATCACCATCCCCTTCCCATTGCTGTCCCCATCGCCATCTCCTTCCCATCGCCATCTCCTTCCCATCGCCATCTCCTTCCCATCGCCATCCCTGTTGCTGTCCCCATCACCGTCCCCATCATCACCATCCCCTTCCCATCGACATCCTCTTCCTGTCACTGTTCCCATCACTGTTCCCTTCCCATCACTGTCCCCATCACTGTTGCCTTCCCATCACTGTCCCCATCGCCATCCCCATCACCATCCCCTTCCCATCACTGTCTCCCTCCCATCAGTCCCCCCCATCACCCCTCACCCCCACCCCAGCGTTTCACCAGCCCGATGTCCCCGGGGGAGCCGGGTTTGGGGGGCGGGGGGCTGCCTAGGACCTCTGGGGCAACCGTGAGGTTCTTCCCACTTGAGTCCATCTCCCAGCCAAATCTGGGAGGGGAGCAGATGGCAACCAAAGGCACAACCCCGGGGTGTGATGGGGAGCAGCTGGTCCCCATCAGCACCCTGAATTTGCCCCCCCCTCCCCCACTGGTACCCATCCCCAGATGAAGAAGCTGCTGGCAGAGACTGAGAAGCTGTCGGCGGAGGTGCTGGGGCTTCGTGGCCAGAGCGCCCGGCTCCAGCTCCAGCTGGAGGTGGGTGCCAGCACCTGGTGTCACCCGCTGTCACCTTGTCACCCTTCCCACCTTCTTCTTCTCCTCCCCAGGTCCAGCAGAAAAACCACCGGGACATTGTAGCAGTCTATAGGACCCACCTGCTCAACGCTGCCCAGGTGGGATCCCATGTCCCCCTCATTTTGGGGTGACATGGGGCAGGGGAGGACGATTTTGGATGCAATGCTGGAAAATACAAATTTGGAGTCTGGCACCAAATTTAGGTCACCTAGGGGAGGCTGGATCTGGGCTCACAGCAAAGCTCTCCTCCCCACAGGGGTTCATGGATGAGGGGGTCCACGCCATGCTGCAGCGGATCCTGCGGATGGAGGAGTGAGGGGCAGGATTGGTGCCAGTCCCATCCCCCCCCCCAAAAGCCATTAAACTGGAAAAGCCGCGTGTCCCCCCCATCCCGTGTCCCCGTCTGCATCCGGGTGTGCTGGATTTACCGCGGGGAGGGGTGAGGTGGGGGGTCCCAGCTGGGGGGTTGGTGGGAGATGCGGTGTGACACCCCAGAAGGGCTCACAGGCCCGGTCAGTCCCCGCGTTCCAGGCCAGGACTAGGGAGTGGTGCTGGACAGACTGCGGGCCAGGGCTGTACAGCACCAGTCCCATACTGGACCCGTCCTATACAGCACCAGCCCCATACAGCACCAGTCCCATACTGGACAGGTACCATGTAGCACCAGTCCCATATAGCACCGGCCCCGTACTGGACCGGCCGCATACTGGACCAGTCCCATTCTGGACCAGTCCCCCCCCAGTCCATACAGGACCCGTTACCCCTCGGCGCAGGCCCCTCCCATCCCGTCCCGGGGGCGGGGCAGGGCGAGGCGGAGTGGGCGTGGCGAAGGAAAAGTGGGCGTGGCGCTGCGGCTGCGCGGCTGGCGCGGAGTTGCGCGACGCTCCCTACCTACGCCCCGCCCCCGCTCCCTCTCCCCGTCCCCTGCGCCGTGCGGCCGCGGCGGGGCGCGGAGTTTGCCTCGGTCCCTGTGCGGCGGCTGCCATGTCCCAAGATGGCGGAGGCGGCGGAGCTGAAGGTGCGGCGGGGCGGGCGGGAGCCGAGCGGCGCCGGGGACC